AGGAGCAGAACTCTACCGGAGGTAGGAGGAGGTAGGGGCAGAACTCTAGCGAAGAAGAAGGGAAAAAGAAGAATAAAAAGAGGACTATGGCATCCCAGGACTGTAGAGAGTAAGAAGAGGAGGAAGAAGAAGATGACGAAGAAGAAGGGAAGAAGAGAGGAAGAGAGTAAGAAGAGGAGGAAGAAGAAGATGAAGAAGAAGGGAGAAGGAGGGAGGGGAGCCTACACAGAGTGAGCCTACGGAGGGAGGAGGAGGGGGAAGGGAGACTGATGGAGGGAGGGAGTCGAACGAGGGAGGAGGACGGGGAAGGGAGACTGATGGAGAAGGAGGGGGGAGGGAGTCTATGGAGGGAGGGGGGAGGCTATGGCGGACGGAGCAGAAGCATAATCGAGCATTCCCAAAGAAAAAAAAAAAATGACGATTTGTTGATGAAGCGCTATGGCAGAGGAAGAAACAGGGAGGAAGAAGTGGAGAGCAGCAGCAGCAGCAGCAGCAGCAGCAGCAGCAGCAGCAGCAGAAGAAGAAGAAGAAGAAGAAGAAGAAGAAGAAGAAGAAGAAAGAGAAGAAGAAAAAAAAGAACTGATGAAGAATAAGAACAAATAGAAGAAGAAACGACAAAGAAAAAAAGAAAAGAAGACAAAGAAACAACGAAGAAGGAAAAGAACACGACGAAATGGAGGAGAGGAAGGAGAGGAAGAAGAATGAGACAAAATGAAGAAGAACAAACAAAGATATAGTAGAGATGAAGAAGAACAAACAAAGACGTAGTAGAGATGAAGAAGAAAAGAAGAAGAAGAAGAAGAAGAAGAAGAAGAAGAAGAAGAAGAAGAAGAAGAAGAAGAAGAAGAAGAAAACTTACCTGAGTTGGCGATGGCGGCACAGGCAGTCTTCGTCAGGGGCAAGGAGGATGGCGCGGCTGGACGACGACGATGGTGGCGCGCTGGAGGGCAGCAAGGTGATGACGACGATGGCTCGGCAGGGCGAAGATAACGATGGCGCGGACGACCATGCAACAACGGCGGGGAAACAACAAGCTGGTGCGGGGGGGTAGGGCGGAGGGGCGCAGGGCCGCGTTGTAAGTCCCCAAGATTCGAATTCAAAATCTTGGGACATCGATCAACGCAGACCAACGGCCCAGGTCCGGAAAAAAAAAAACCTAAGAAACGGGGCCTACCGGATCCCAAAAAATATTGGGGCGGCCGCCCAATTTCTTTTTCCCCTCTGGGCCTTCAGCCCGCAGTGCAAAAAAAAATTTCAAAGCGATTTCGGAGGCGGCGCTGTGGGGGTCCGGGGGCCTGGCCGGGGGGTCGCACGGCCGGGCACCCCGAGCGCCCTTCCGGGCAACCCGGGGGAGCCCCGGGCGCCCGGGCTGGAAAGCTAGTTCCGTATGTAAGTCAACTGCTCTCCTTAAGCCTTAACTCACCTTAAGATTGCCAGTCCATTTCCCCAGGTGCCTTGTTCTGACACGCTGGTTCATGTGCCACAAGATTGAGTTTCAGGCTGGGCTACCAGCCAGGCCGCCCTGGTCACCTTGTTTGCCCAGGCGTCCCAGTCGTGCAAGGACCAAGGAAGGTCCCAGCAAAAAAAAAAAAAAAAAAAAAGAAAAGAAAAAAAAAAGGAGTATGAAAAAAACAAGACACAGAAAAACTATGTTATGCAGGAAAATAAACTGAATAACGTTTGCCTCAGGTGCACATCGAAATTCTTTACCAATTTAGACCACCGCTCTCCATTGTTTGGGGTTGTCCGGTCCTATCCCCAACGATGAAGACGTGTTGATTGTCTCCAGGGAGGGTGGTAGGTTGCTTAGGGTTTCGCCCATTGATGCGTTTGTCTGCTGTGGTGATTGTTTTACTTAGGTCTTTGCTTGCGTGGGGAGGAGGTCAATCCTTCCGTTATTTTGGGAAGTAATCAATGCCTTCTGCTCCTAAGAGAGATATAGGGCCTCGCTGCACTACTCTCGAAATGTGCAAAACGAGAGTGAATCTTCCGCTAGAATATGGAAAGATACACGGCCATGATTTTTCTCTTTTGTGCATTTCAAGAGTAGTGCAGCGAGGCCCATACAGATGTTACGAACACCCTCACACAATACTGAGTGTATAAGGGACGCTGGAACCGATTTCCAGCGGACACATGTCGTTGTATAGGGACTCTGGACCCGATTTCCAGACCAGGTGCAGCTCCCCACCAATAGATGGAGCCTTCAACGTCAGGACCCACTTAACGGGGCTGCCCTTATCACCTCGTTA